CTGACTACCAAATCGACCCGACACCACCCGACCCGACCCGATCGCTCTAATGGGCAACCCCCCCCCCCCCTATTAGAGGTACAACGGGCTGACTCGGAATTAGTGGCTGGTTGGCGGGTGCTCTGGTGTGTGGTTTGCTCCTTCTTGCCTATGAAACATAATATGTCGTCCTAATCTCTCCTTCGTATTGTGTTTGTTACTCTCTTGTAACAACACCTCTAATCTTCGACCACATTGTGATCTAATTGTGTGGAAAGTGCCGTAAATCTCTTACAAAGACGAAAACATGACTCCGACTATGGATGGTTGCGACCTGTTTGAGCTGCAAATGCTGTAAAACTCTTTCTGGAGGTAAACAAAAAGAAAACAAAAACAAAAACGAAGACTAAGGCGGATGTTTGGAGGGCGCCATTGGCCGGTCCTACTTCTTTACTTTTCCCCTTTGTTGTTTCTGTCTAGCTTAGCGTCACTAGCCTGCAAAATGGAGGTCTTTGTGCGGCTGGTGGTGGGTGCTGTGATATGATTTGCTTTTTCTTTCCCATCGGATACCTATTGTCCTCACCTTTCCTTTTGTTTGTTTGGTTGTTTTGGTAAGTGTTTTACGGCGCTCGCAACTGCATAAGGTCATATGAGCGCGAGGGACACACCTGTGATTTTTTTTTGTACGTTGCTGTCTAATTTCACCTCCCACGTTCGACACTTTTATGACTTAATTGTGTTGCAATTGCCGTACTGCCCGCGTTAACCTCGACATTCAAGATGGGACCAGCGCGCCCTCTATGACTTAAGCCGTGTCGATGGAGGTGTAAAATATTTACAGCCCGTCAGACATAAACCACATCCGGTGCAGGCTATTGTTATAGGGCGCCGCTGGTAGGTCCTTATACTTGTTTCTTCTTTTCTTTCTCCTCCGTATTTGTCTTAACTTACTTTACCCCCTACAATAAACGACTGGCATTTTGTCGATGTACTGTTGTCTTTATTCAACCAATGGCATTCAATTCAATAACAAATCTTCTTGAATTTAAAAAGAAACCTTTACTCAAACTATTGTAAAATATAAGTTTACAAAATAATCTTCAAATTAAAAAAAAAAAAAGTCTTCGTTCAAGCTATGCTACGTAAAACCATCTTATTCCTTCCTGGACGTATGATCCCACACAGGTTGTGTTAAGCCTCGCCTAGCCATTGTGTCGTTGGGAGGGCTTACAATGTTTACGATCTGTGAGACATCAAGTCACATCCGGCGATTCTGGGTGCCCGTACTGTGTCTGGGTATCCACTAGAGCTGTCCCTGATTCGACTCGACTATTCAGCTGCTTTTTTTTTTCGCTTTTCAAAGCTATTCGAAGCGTGGCAGAGCCATTCGAATACCGTGTAATTTTTTTATTCTTTTTACGGACAGTTATTTATTTTCGACTCCTTTTTATCAACGTGTCCTAAAATGGGGGTAAAAAAATCCTTTAGATAAATACCAAAACAAAACACTTTGTACTTGATGATTCTGAGGCAGGATGATAAGTGAACGTTACAAGAATACTGAATAGCGAATGCAATCTAGCCTCTATAAGAACAGCCAAACAACCAAAGAAATTCGCGATCGGTGTTCGAATACCACGAATGCTCGCTCATATTATGACCTTATGCAGTTGCGAGCGCCATAAGACTTACTAAAACAAAACACACAAAAAAACGAAAAGCACGAATAGTGACTTCACACTTTGAAGCGTCGAGGAAGTTACGGTACCTCAAAATCGCACAGCATTCTCCAGGGCCAAAAATCATATAATGGCCAGTGCTGTCTGGGGCATGGGGTGCCCTTGTTCAAAGACAGTGCCAATTCTGTGGCTGGAGTACAGGCAATGTGCTCTTACTTGTACTATGATTTTTTCCTATCAAACATCTATCGTCCTTATCTCCCCTTCTTCTTTATGTTTGTTACTCTCTTGTAACACCTCTAATCTTCTGGCGCTCATAATATGACCTTATGCAGTTGCGAGCGCCGTAATACCTCTACTAAAACTTTATAAAGTACTATGATTATAGGATGTGTGTTGTGTGTACCACCTTCACCCTTTGTCCTTGTTGCATGGCGTGCGGGAAGAGGTATGACTTAACTCCCCCCCCCCCCAAAAAAAAAAAAACCGGGTGCAGGATCCTGACAAGTCAAATAGCCAGTGCACTGTAGTGCACACTTACGCCAGTTTGGAAAGATTTTGAACCACACTGAAAGCAGAGAGGCACTACGTATAATTTAATGGTAAGTTTAAGTGCATAGGTTTAATGCCCTTATCAGCATTATTTTGGTTATTTAAGAGGCGTGAACTCCGAATTTAACGTCCGTCTCAGATAGGACCAAGCCAAATGGGTTGAGAGAGAGAGAGAGAGAGAGAGAGAGAGAGAGAGAGAGAGAGAGAGAGACTTAAAAACACCACCAAACGATCCGAGTTCGAGAACGCCCAGTCTGGGTTTCGAACTAGGGCCCGTAGTCTTACAAAAGACAATAGTAAAGGAGAATGAATGGAGAACCATGATCGCCGATGTCTGTCGCAGATCTGGCACTGGATGACAATGATGAATAGGGTGTGCTTGTGTACACCTGTGTGTGTGTGGGGTGTGTGTGTGTGTGTGTGTG